TGAAAGCTTATGCTCCCAGTACTTCTGTTAGTCTCAAAGGTGCCACAGGACCCTCTGTTGCTTTTAACAACCTAGAAATTACTGAGGTAAATGTTTCTGAAAAAAACTCCTAAACCAAAAAGAGCAATTAGTATTAATATAATAGTAATTACTCTGTCATACATCATAGTAAAATTAACTCAAAGAAGAAAATATCAAATAATCCACATGCATGCTTTTGCTATGCTCCAGGTAAGGCTTAGCGGCAAGTATAATATCTATTTTTAAAGGAGCTCCACCTGATTTTCTTGCTATGCATAGATTCACAGAATAATCATCATACATGGCTTTCATAAATAAAACATGTATTTTTGTCAGTTGCCAATGCTATATCATTGGAGTTTAGTTCAGTAGAAGGCTCAGGAATTGGGTCAGTAGGAGATGCTGGTGTTTGAGGAATCTCTTCTTCCTTAATTTCTAATTGCACACTGTCTTGTGACTGGTCATCTATACAGTCCTTTTTGGACAGCTGATGAACTGACACTTTTATCGCAATCTGCTGTGGTGGTTCATGCAGTGATGATGCCTCAGAGTCAGCTGTGGGAGAGTCGCTGCGCTTTAGTGCATTAGGAATCATAAACATATCATCTCCATCAGTAGTCTCCTGGCCTTCTGCTGCTTGTCGTACAAAGTTCTGTCCCTGTTCTTCCAAGCCAACCACCTCCATGATTTCTTCCATTATAGTCCTGCAGTTCATGATGAGAGGTGGTAGAGGAACACTTCGGGCAAGTTCCTCAATGTAGCGAGCAAATTCCATGGTTTTGAACTGGGTTACTTTGGCAAGCTCAAGAGTTTTGGCTGAGGTAATGATTGGGATACGCTTAGCAATCTCAAAGGCTTTTTGTAGTTTCTCTGCTCCTTCTGTTCTGAAAAACTCGTTGATGGCTTTCTCAGTTTTCTTCAGATGGCTGCTCATCATACACAGCCTGGTAATGTTCAAGATCATAACAATGGTAAAAGCTACGAGGCAGACAATCATGTAATAGATCCCCATATCTCCGGAGGTAAAGACGACCCTCAGAGTCACAGTATTATTCACAGTGCCATAGATGTTAGAAGCAACACATGTGTATTTACCTCTATCGTCAAAAGACACGCTGGTAATGTTCAGTAGCCCATTGTCAAGAAACCACCATTTTCCTGCAGGAAAGATATAGAAGAATTCAGTCCAAAACATTTGTTCATATGGGGAGTATCACATTTTAATCATCAGTTTTGTCATACTGGCTCCAGAATTTAGAAAAATGGCAACAACATAGACTATACTAGAGTGAATCACTTGTCGACACAAAAACATGTCTGCTTTTAGGATCCCACCACAATACAATTTCCGCTATTGTGAAGATCACTGATTATACACAGGTCACATTTTAAAAATGTTTCGCTATCCACAATAAACTATATTGTATATCTATCATAGTCAAACAAGTTAAAAACCTAATTACCTACTGCGGACAGCATCCCAAACTCATGCAGTACTTCATAAAATGCTGAATTTTAATGAATAATAGAAGTTTGAGATAGAAGACCTGATAAGTCACCTAGATCATTGTTGAATTCAATGAAGATTGTAAATTTTCTGGTGTTTTGTTATAGTATCTCCTATCATCTTGTTACTGTTAACTTTACAACACACCCAAAAGTATGCTAGGGATCTTACAGTGCAGAAAAAATATGCAAGGCGCTTACAATCTAATTTTAAACATGACATGACAAAGGAAGTGACAAGACAGCAGGGGTATGACAACAGAGGAAAGAGCAGGGCCACACCAATAAGATCAGGCTGTTGCTCAGTAAAATCTTGTGCACATGTTGGTGGATTTTTTTTTATCTGAAGAGGTTTATTGGGAGCAATCTTTACTGATTTATGCAACGTTATTGATACATTTGATCATTACATTCTACTGCAAGGGTTAGAAGTGCAAATTTTTCATGCTTTGACCCTACCATGGGTGACTGATTATCATCAAATTGAGCTCAAATAACTTAATTTAAAAATCTGAATCTGCTCCTATTTCTGCTCATCCTAATATTATAAGGATATTGACTTAGCTCCTCTTCCCTCCCCACTCCCCCAATTAAATAGCTAGGTTTCATCTTTAAGTGACAAACACCACTATTTTTTAGACCCTAGGGAGATATGTATGCCCTATTCAGTTGGTTTGTGGTGTGGGTTTGATAAATTGAAAGACTGGCTTAAAAGATGATGTTCACCATGGGTGTGGAGGGCTGGTTTAAGGTCCTGCATCACTTAAACTCTGCAGTAAATTCCAGAGTATGGACAGGGAGTAGAGCACAAATGGACAGTGTAGCTTTACTAATTCTGGATGTTTCTGTGTCTCCCTGAATACCACACAGTGGCTCTCCATGCTTAACAACAGCACAAGGGTGGCTAAAGGCAGGGGCACAGGATCTGCAATTACAGAGAGAAAGTGGCACAGACACAACAGCAGTGGCAATGCCTGCACTGACAACCTCACCTCTTGATGTGGGGTATGTGTGTGCGTGCATGTGTATTTAATTCTCTCCCCCTCCGATTTCATCTTCTCTCTCCATGGAGATTTGTTTGTTTGTTTAAAAGCTTCTTTTAGTTCTTGGATTCTTAGTCTTATGCTATGGAAGCATATTATGTGTAATTTGAAATTAATCAGACAAGCCAGCTTCAATTTGGAATATTAGTGGCTTTCCTCTTTTTGAAAATTAGGATGAGCCATATTTTGAGTTAGAATAAAGGTTTCATAGTTAGTTTGCACATTTATCCTCAGTGAAAATCTATGCATAAGCCTACTTAACATTTTTGGAGTTCCTAATTATTTTTCAACCAACATTATTAGTTCTGCACTCTTATTCTTATGGATTTGCAATGTCTGAAAACTCCCAATACTAATCAAAGTGTGTAATGATGAGCAGGTGGGTAAGTCTTTGCAGTACCAGGACCTCACCCTCCAAACATTGTAAGCTCGTCAGAATTTTCCATGTCTACAGGTTTTACTTTGTACATAACATTATGGAATGAAGAAGTTCTAGACATGCTGTGTACTAAGCCACAGTATAAATAATAAAATACACTATGGCAGATTAAAATAAAAGGGAAACAAAACAAAAATGTTAAAGTACAGTTATGTTCATAGCGACCATATATATAAATTCCCTAGTACATTAGAAAGTTAGTTATTAGTAATAAGAAGTGTGGAACTTTGTAGTTAATATGTAGCGGGGGTAGCCGTGTTAGTCTGTATCTACAAAAACAACAAGGAGTCTGGTGGCACCTTAAAAACTAAAAGATTTATTTGGGCATAAGCTTTTGTGGGTAAAAACCTCACTTCTTCAGATGCATAGAGTGAAAGTTACAGATGCAGGCATTATATACTGACACATGGAGAGCAGGGAGTTACTTCGCAAGTGGAGAACCAGTGTTGACAGGGCCAATTCAATCAGGGTGGATGTAGTCCACTCCCAATAATAGATGAGGAGGTGTCAATTCCAGGAGAGGAAAAGCTGTTTCTGTAATGAGCCAGCCACCCCCAGTCCCTATTCAAGCCCAGATTAATCAAGTAATCTCTCAGTCTTCTTTTTGATAAACTGAACAGA